TATATATATATATATATATATATATATAAATATATATATATATATCTGTGTGTGTATCAGACATGAGTAAAAGAAATATGTACATCGTTAAAAATCGTATACTATGAGTCAAATGATTACTTACAAAATAACTCAAATCGAGGAAGGACGGAAATGCTATCATTTCTGACTTTCCATTTGTAAAAATTTTTTATTACAAAAATAATGCATAATAGGGAATATAATTATCGTTTCACAAATATAATAGCGAAGTTTTATCTCAAGGTTAATTTAGTAATTTACAATGCAACTATTTACGTCAATTAGCATTGCAACTAATAACGTCAAAGGAAGTATTAGTTAAAACGTGCCTAGATAAATATTTTCGTACAATACCCCGCAACTCTATTCCGAAAAAAACTAACTACAATCATGTCTCGAGATCTGGGTAAGAAAATGTTTTATCTCATATTTAATAAATTATAGTAAAAAATCTTTTTAAAATGTTTTTTTCTTTCTTTGAAGGGCCGTGCAAATGTATTACAAAATAGTTAATTTAAAATCTTTTTCGTATTTCTTGTGAGTTTTTATAAAATGTTGTTTTGAAGTTTTGTTGGTTTCAGTTGCTGATATTTTCAAGACAACTTTCTAAAAAATTTTTTTTATTCTGTAGTAGCTCAAATATTCTTAGAGAATTATTATTTTTTTTCCAGGTGTATTATCTAAGCTCCGATGTTTGTCCTTTTTTTAATATTTTTTTCCTTTTTGCAGTGGACTTAGTTTATTACACCGTTTAAACCTATTTCTCATCGTCCATGTCCATGTCCACTCCGCTTAAGACAAGAATCGAATATGGTTTTTCACTTATCAACTTTTCAAATCTTTAAATACGTTTATTTCAAAAGTAACTTTTCCCTCATTCTTGTGTTGGCATGGTGCTGACAATATATTAACTCTTTGTGGTCGTATTAAGTTTATACATGGGTGTCATGCTGGTCGGAGTTAATTTTCGTTGAACGAACAGTAATATGTAATATGCAAAATTATGAAGGAAAATTTATTATTTATTTTTTAAACTTTAGATATATGTAACATAATAATTTGTTTTAATTTTATTTTAAAATTATATTTTATGGTTCTTCCTCGTGTGGCAATAATAATTATCTGGTTTGGTGTCTTCCACCTTTATTTTGTTGTTTGAACATACTGAACCACTTTTACTCTTTACATCTTCCCCAGTGCTGCAATAGATGTATTTTACCATTAAACTGTGGCTAACATCTTTGTTGTGGTGGCGGAAAGCAGACATACGACTGGAACGGTAAAGAAGGGTTGGCGGCGGAGAGTAGACATACAACCTCAAAGGGTTAAGGCGTTTATTCTGGTAGAACTGAGCATTGGTCAATCGCCTCGATATTTTATCCACTTAAAAAAATTTAAGCCAAGTTTTGTTTAAAATATGCTTTTATAAGAAGTTTTCTTTTTATGTTTGAGCAAAACTACGATAATTGGTCGTAACTCTCCCTTCCATTGTAGTTTTATTTTCAATTAAAACATTTTTTAATGTACACAAGAAATGATAAAAAATAGACTACTTCATAATTGAAAAACAATAAAAATATTTTCAAATGTTGATTGATTTATAGTTAAATCGTCACAACTATTATTGATTTTATGCTGATGTTGGAATGGTTGACCGTGTAGCCGACGCAGAGGTGGCGATAGGTGTTAAAATTCGTCCTAAGACTTCCGGGTTTCTACTTCCGATTTATTTTTACTCTCAAGTTTGAAAAAGCGCGCCAATCAATATTAATATAGTACTTATGTTTATAATATAAGGCGTTTTCATTTCATCTTTAGCTTAATTCGTTTAATTTCAGCAGAAAACAAATTTAGATTTCTCCACAAGCATGCTGTGATGCTACCCAAAAGAATAACAAACGACGATATTTTACCCAATTATAGAAATGTAAGGGATAACGCTCAAAACATGGCAATAGCTTTATTTATGTTGTGATATTAGTTTTTCTAAATATATTTAAGGCTTTTCACCCTTTTAGAATTTACAAATTAGAGAAAACTCTCATGAATGATCAAATTACGAACAAATTTAAACTCAAACTCCAATAATAAAACAACCTAGAATATTAATCCTGTTCACATATCGCCTCGTAAACGTAGCATAAGCGGAGGGATACACTGGAATTTTTCTATATTTTTTTCGACTTTTCGAAGCTTGTTATTGTTTATATTCTGTCAACCATCCATAGGCCATCCAGGTTATTGAGCTGTCATGGTGCCTGAGTGTGTAGCCAATAGTCATGGGTTTAAATCCCGATCGAGACCTGAACCCCTATCTCTCTCAATCACTGTTTGCCCTCTGTTGAGCTAGGCTATCGACAGTGTCAACCGTCATCTATCTAAAGGTACCTTAAGATATAATCGAGTTACATGTCTCATATATTAGTGGATTGGAATTTAATACTACGCTAAATTACTCCCCCAACAGAATTTTATCCGTGATAGAATTCGATGAATGGATAACACTAGTTGATTCAATGCTGTTTTGCGAGAGGCTGGGGGAGCTGTATTAAGGTCACCGGTCGTTGCAATTAGCAGTCGAGTGTGTACAGGCTCCTGTTGTGCGTGATCGAGACTGATTAGCAACAGCGTGAGGCGGACAATGTCCCAGTCACAAATAGCAAGTCAACTGTTTAATGTAGACCATGTATCGAAGTAGGCGTGTTCAGATCACGACCTGGTCACTAATGTGGAACTAGGTTACTGGCAATGTCAACCGTCATCTATCTAAAGGTACCTCAAGATAGAATCGAGTTAACATGTCTTATATACTAGTTAATTGGAATTTAATAGTTGCAGTGGTAGCTACACTATATTTGCGACGTCTGAAAGTTGCCAACCGTATGAACGGGAATCTGTAGCAGTCTAACATGGGTAATGTTGCTCGTTTTCGAAACACAGGTTCATAGGTGTCCACAGGATAACGTTAAATGAGCAGCACTTCCGGCGTCCTTCGTGACAAAGAACGCAATATTTCATTGCCAGCCGTTGGGGGGAAAAGTTCTGATGTGTAGGGAAAAGGCTATAGGCTAGGAGCGAGTTATAGCACTTTTAACAGTGTGGCCACTATTTAAAACATACGACCACCTTTTCAAGAACTCAAAATTTTAAATGATTAATAAGACTGTTAGTATTGATAATGCAAGGCATCCTTTTAAAGTATTTCTCAAAATATGATAAACAGTGCAAGATTTATTTCGAAAATGAAGAAAAATTTTAAGAAACAATCGTGAAATAAAGTAATCATAATAGTTCCATGTTTAATTTAAAAAAAAAAAAGTAATACTGAAATGCGCATGCGGTACATTTTCAACGAAAAAGTGAAGATCAGGTGGCGAGTTGCTGTAATATTTTAATCGCTATTCGTTATATTTAGTTAACCAGCGCCCAGGGACGATCGTTTATTTGACAACCAGTAACATCTTCTTTACATATTAAAAATCAAAGCGATGAAAATGTGTGAGGAGGACAATTATCTTTTTATTATAAGAAATATTTCTTTTCTTGTAGTCAAAGATTGCCAACATGATTACCACGAGTATTGCGTGGGTGACTTTCAACCTGATGATATTGTCATCAGCGGCATGGCTGGACGTTTCCCGCGCTGTGATAATGTAAAAGAATTCAAAGACGGTATCTATAATAAGAAAAATCTTCTACACAGCAGCAATGAAAGATTTACAAAAGGTAATTTTTCCGTTACTGTTGCATGGGCAACACATCTGTAATCATTTCTATTTTTGAAAAAATAATAATTTTGGTAGTGAACATAAATTTTTAACATGTGATATTGAAAAATTGTCTATTGTGAACAGTGTCATTTTTTATATTGACTATAATACTAGATTTTTTGTTTATTCTTTTACATTACGTGAAGCTGCAGGTTAATTAGTTTTTGTGTGAGTAATTTTCTTACGCAAAAATATATTGACCATAAGCTAACTTTTTTTTTTGTATGAATAATTTCTGGACTATGTTTGTCTTTGATTCAATGCTTATAACTAACTCCCTGGCATGTCCATGTCGGACCATGGTTTCACTAACAATTTTTCTCCAAAGTCGCCTGTCTCTAGCTCTTTGTTTCCAGTTTCAGACCTTTAGAATTTTAAGGTCTTTCTCCACCTCGTCTAACCATCTCTTGGCCGGCCTTACTCTTTACCTTTGGCCCTGGCACTGCCCCTTGAATATCTTGATTCAATGTTTATAGCAATGAGAATGAAAACGGTAATTGATGATATTTATCTCTTTTTTTACAGCAATGCAACTGGTTTAAATTGTTTTGTCTGTAAAATATTTTCAGGTTCACATATAAATCCTTTTGGAACAACTGGAAGCATTAAGAACTTGGACAAGTTCGAAGTTAATTTTTTTAATGTGTCTCACAATATAATCAATTCTATGGATCCCGCGACTAGGAAACTGCTGGAAGTTACATATGAGGCAATTGCAGATGCAGGTAGGATATTGATTTAATCGAAAATTTAGACACTAATTTTCAAAGTCTTATTTTTCTTTAAAGAAAATCATAAAGCTTGAAACCACGCGAGGTCAATTGGCCGTAGTTCAAATAAAAATCTTTTATTTATTTATTTATTTTTTTTTAAAATTTATTTATTTATTTTGAATTCCAATTTTCTCTCATCCCAGATTTAGATAATTGTGAACTGAGTTTCAACAACAGGCATAAATGCATTAATATAAAAATTTATAAGACTCCCGGTGGCTGAGCGGTAGCGCTTCGCGCTGTCGTGCCACAGGTCCCTGGTTCGATCCTCGGGTCGGGCAAAGTTGACTCAGCCTTTCATCCCTTCAGTGGGTCGATAAATGAGTACCAAGCATGCTTGGGAACTAAACACTGGGGGTTCCGCGTTCGGCTGACCACCTAACCGGAACATCTGCTCCTGCACCCCAGACCCCAAAGGTCAAGAAAACTGAGATGGGCACAGTAGGCCGTGGCCCTCTAAGGGCTGTCGCGCAGCTGAGGTTAAGTTTAGTTTTTAATAATTTATAAAGAGAAATTTACTTTACTACTAGTCCGTACAATAATTTCATATAAATTAACCCCATGAAACTTTTTTCCTATATTTTGTTGTCTTGAATTGTACCATTTGGCAGATGATTTTAAAATTTGAGAATTAAAGAACATTAAAAGCTTTATTAAACATTTGTTAAGTTACAGTAATTGATATCGATCAATTTCAATCATATGATTTTGTATATGAGTAACTAATAATATCTTTCTTCGCTTTCAAATTTCTTAGAATGCACACTGTTTCAATGCTGGATGTCGTTTATCTGGATTTTGTTTATAATCAATCTATATATACACTTTTCTTTTGTGGTCCCCTAAATTGGGGTATTTCTCTATGAATTGATAACTTTATAGTTATTATTCATTTTGATATGTTGTCTTTGTAATAAATTAATGTTAATAAAATAATGTTAAAAAATTAGTAATACATTAAGTATTTACTTAGATTCATATTTTTTTAATAGAAATATGAATCTAAGTAAACTTAGAACTTAGATGCGAGACTAAGAACTAAGAACTAACGAAGATTATTTAGATTTATTTTTCAATCTTTCTAAAAAAGCTGTAAGACTTATTTATTTATTTTTTTGAAAAAAAAAATTTGCCAAGCACAAAGTTCTTAACTCTTATTGGGTTAAGAAATTTTCCACCACAATATATCTACACTAGCCGCACGAAGGCGTAAATTTGTTTATGCTTAATGCTGATTAATTGAAAATATACAAAGCAGATGTTAATTTCAAAATTGTTAAAAAAAAAAGAATAATTTACAAAATATTTTCACCTTCAGTTGAAATTCAGAAACAAAAAATATGTTATCAAAAGAGTTAAGAGAAAATTTGAAAGTTACTTTTGCACCTTGAAAACCTTTATTTATAAATTTCTACTAAAGTAGTCACTATGTGTAATTAAACAAATGCACTTGAAAGTGTCTATCAGAGTTGGGAATTTACGTTATCTCATAGAGTAGATTTTACATAAAATAAATAAAAAAGTTATTCAAGACGTCCAATTTAGCGCCATGTCCACTCTTCACTCACCCTCCCCTATACCGGGATATATGGAATTAAAAAACCATGAATATGACAATAAGAAAAATTTTACTTGTTGGAATGAAACTATACTAGTAATATTCTGTAAAAGTTTTAAACAAACTGGAGAAAATACAACGCTTTCGTGTGTGTGCAAAAACGCTAGATCTTTCTTATGTATTTGGGTATAGAATTTCACTTTTAAGATAATAATTCTGAAATGGGTATGTTCCCTTACTTAAAAAAAAAACAATTTTTATTAATATTTTTTTTAAAAAAGTTCGATTTCGTTTCTGATTTTTTTCTGTTTTATTCATGGAAACAAAACAAAATCAAAAGTATTCGTAAGCAAGTGCATTAAGTGTATAGTCAATGCTTGATAAATGATATTCTATAGCAACGTTAACAAGTAAAACAATTCATTACAGTAGTGGGTTTCCAAGAATTTCACAAAGCCTAAAATGCAAGAACAAAACAAAATGAACATGATTATTTTACATTTGTGACCATTACGACTGTTATTATTATTACTATATGAAGAAAATATATATCTGAGTGAGAATGCTAAGCAGTTTGGAACTTTTAAATGTTTTTTCTTTCTTTCTAATAGCTGAAGGAATTGACACAGGAAAAATTAAAAATAGTCATTTCCTTATTCGATACCTTGCTACCCAGTATCGGTCAGCGCTCCACGGTGAGAGAACTGCACAGGAGAACGTGGCGGCCATCCATTACAAATTGGTCTCGACATATCGAGAAATATGGATGAAATGTCATCTTAAATATGTATAAGTAACCTGCAAGACAGTCATAAAGAGTCAGAACTGAGTCATGGCCTCTTGGCGCGGCCAGTTGTGAATGCTATTTGGCACGAGATCCTTTCAGTTTTTGTTAGAATTTCTTTCCATCAGTTGCTTGCTGGAATTTAGTGAAGACTTTTTTTGAGAACTCATTTAAAGGTTGAAAAAGGGGCCAGGTTATTATTTACCTGTTGTATATGGAGGTGCCCTTTATGGCCAAATCATCAGCCATTTCATTGCCTTTAATTCCCCAGTGAGATGGGATCCATCACAGAGTTACAGATTTTCCTAGTTGTTGTAATTTATTAATTGAGATTTAACATTTTAATATCACCAGAAGAGGGGCTGTTCACGGATTTTATTGAGATAAGAGCTACTAACGAGCTGGAAAGATTTGTTCCAAATGACACAACATGTTCCACTGCGACTCATATCGCAGTAATTTCGCCGTTGTAGGCTATTCTTCCAGTATACACGGGAATATAAAAGGCGAAGAGATTGCAAAACACCCCAGCACCGATATTTTAGGCTGATCAGGGACATAGGATCCATGGGCAAAAACTCTCAACCAATTAAGTTCAGGGTAAAGAGTGTTTTTGTTTTCATAGCAAGCATGTGTAAAACTGCAGTGGGAGTATCCACTTTAAACGTTGGTATCTATGAAAAAGGAAACTCCAACTAGCATTAACGTAAATTTTCTATGGTTTTCATAAATGTGTAAAATCTGCTTGAACCCAGTATGTAAGTCCTTTCTTGTTTGTAATTTTCAGGCTATGATTTTCCGAGTGTTTATGGTGCTAACATAGGCGTCTATAATGCAAATATCACGAATGATTCTTTTGCTTTGAGTTGCCAGTTGGATTCTCAACTCGAAGGATACACAGGGACCAGATCTTTACACGTCAATCAAATAACGTATTTCTTTAATTTACTAGGTAAGTAAACGTCCGGACTAGTTTTCCGTCGAACTAGTGTTAAAAATCGCACGTAGCGGAATCACTAAAATCAGGGTAAAAAACATCCAAGTATATTTTTTTTAAATGGACTCTTACGAGATGAACTACTAGGACAAATGAGTAATCTATACATGTTTTTGTTTTTTGATATTATTTCAATATCCCTTTCAATACTTACTATCTATTGTTCACAAATTTGAATTATGGTTTATATTCGCAAATGTTTTAGAGATCTCAAACTCTTCATCAGTTGCTGGTATATCCTCCAATATTTTTTGCTTATCTTCATCGTTTTCAACATTTATGACCGGGAGCACGCATTTAATCAGATACTGAAGGAGTCGAAAAGTAATGGGACATGTGTTGCAGTCATCGATTTTAGAAGATCTTCATAAATGCAATCTTATTCCGATGGGCTAATGTTCCCGTTGAACATGGAGAAACGATTGAGTCCGAGCAGCTTTATCAAACCCATTTGCATTGCATTTTAGTCTACACTCTCAAACGCTGCAGAAATCAAAGCTTCCTGAACACTTATTTTTGCTTTAGAAGCATCTTACAGGTCACCGGAATCAAGATTACCTAACCAGTTGCTTAGTGTAACATTCTTTAAATGATTGGATAATTCAAAGATTTAAAGTTTGAAGCTTGCTGGAAAAAGTTCCAATCCTAAATTTTACAACTTAAGCTCCCATCATACTTCCGTTAACTACCCTTTCCATGACTTTCTTATCCTCTCAATATATATATATATATAAATATATATATAGGGAGATAGATAGAGGGAGATAATTGTAACAGTTATAAGTTTTCTTAGTTATAGTATTATAAACATTAAAAAATATTTAAACTAATACTATAGCTGAAAATAACAGATAAATACGAACAATTACTTGAGTTGCAAGTAAATATAAAATTTAAATGCTTTAAAAATACTATCATTATTTAGCTTATTTTTCCTTTATTTTTAATATACCAAGAAGAAAAATGATTTATACTTTTAATATATGATCCTACTAGGAATTTTCTATCCTAACTATATAACCAAAGCTTGGAAAAGTTTTTAAAAAAAGGCATTTATTGTATTATTATAAAAACAGGAATTCAAGAAACATTGTTGTAAGATGAGTAATTTAATTCGCTTAATATTCCCGATATTAACTGTTTAACCAAACGTTGTTAAGTAACAAAAGTTATAATACCGTTATAAAAAAGGAATAAAAAAAACACCATTGGGAAAAAGTAACACATTTTATGAGCAATTTTTATTTTGTTAATATAGCATCATCCGAAACATTTTCCTTTTTCTTATTTTTGCTTTAGGAAATGTCATAACATCCAACACTTTTTGTCATATTTTGGCGATTATTGGAGTGTAACCAAAGATAATAGGAAAGGCAATGCGATATTACTATGTAATAATTGATAACATTTCCTCGACACGACATAGAATTGATTTTTGTTACACTTAAAAAAACTAGTTTTCTAAAATTACACCTTGAGAAATAGAACAAAATAATTGGAAAAATTTTTTTTAAAAAGGTTATAAAATAAATTATTTCTTAGAACGAAAAACAGAATACTTTTACTAGTTATCACGCATTTATTCTATATATGTAAGAATAAGTTCCTCGAATTTCAGATGCATTCCACNATCCCAGCCTATATATATATATATATATATATATATTGAAGCTGAAAATAAAGGTACAGAAACGGACATGCTATAGTTTCAGTTCTATGAACCAGAACATTTCTCAGTGTCTAAACACAAAATCACAGTAGAAAAGTAACGAGACAAGCAATTTGCAATGAAAAAAAAAATAAGTCGTTTCATTAACAGGGGTTGAGGAGCAGAAGTGAACATGATAGGAAAAGATTTGTGATGAGAAACAAGTGTGATAGAGTTGGGTGGAAACCCCATGGGGCAAGTTGTAGAAATTGAAATTCGAGTAGACTTTACAGCATGGAAAAAGTATGGAATACCAGAAAGACTACACCAGGGAACAAATTTTCTATTGCATTTATTTAAATACTTGATCTTGTCTAATTCATGTGAGGAGATTTCAAACCCGAAATTAGTTTTGATCCTAAAGGTGAAGACATTTTTTAAATGTCATTTTTAGACTATTTCTCTGTCGAAATATACAAGTTTAAAAGATTTATGAATGACAGTGAGTCGTATAAATATTGCGACAAATATTTTGGGGAGTTAGGTCGCGTCATCAGAATTGATAATGCATTGTAAACCATGCCCAGAAATGTCTCCGTACGCGTCTAGAGGCTCTTCCCCTATTATGATCTATTCAAGAGTGCATGAAGAAACAGTTCATAATAGGGCGCCAATACGCTTCTAGCGGCATATGATGACATATCCGGGCATGTGTTCCTAAGCAGTTTTATTTCTAATGATGTGACTTAAATTCTCTATAAGTTTGTCGTAACATTTACACGATCATCTGTTGTAGATAACGTTTTTTTAACTTGTATGTTACCACAAGGAACAAACTAAAACTCTCATTTTTTTAAAAAAAAAAATGTAGCTTTGCCCGAGAAATCTATTGCATATTCAATATCAGCAATATGAAAATATCTAAGATCCGTTAAAAAATTTCGTGCAACAGAGAAAAAAAATGTTTTCCAGTGTAATTAATTAAATTATCAGAATTTTTTGAAATGGTTCCCAGAGGTCAATGCCTGTAGAAGACGAAATCTAAATCGAATGCAGAGCGATAAAAGAACGTTTAATATTTTAACGTTCCCAGATTTTGTGCATATTTTTCCTGTTCTTAAGGTTGAAATTTTTGGAAACATTTAGTTTGTCCATTGTTTGCAAGACCGCTGCAATGATGAGAAGTTTTATATATATACCGTCTATTAGTATCTGCAATATTTTGCTACTATTTAAGAAATTTATTTTAAATATATTTAAGGTCCAAGCATGGTGATTGATGCAGCATGTTCATCTTCATTATCAGCGTTTAATGCAGCCTACACTGACTTAAAAAACGGCAAAATTGAAGGAGCAATTGTTAACAGTTCCCAGATTAATTTAATTCCAGAAGTGGCCCAGCTTTATGTGCGCTCTGGTATAGTTTCACCGACTGGCAGATGCGCACCGTTTGATGCAAGTGGTAAGTGCCAATTTCTTTTTCTAGGTAACTTTTTTAACGATCGTTTTCTAAAAGACAGAGGAGGAAAAACAACACATTTATTATTATTGAGCATTTACACAAAAACTGTTATTAATATAATCGTTCTTAATATGGTGGCCAGGGAGCTGATCTCAAGTCAGAAAGGTCCGGGGTTTGAATCTCGGATTAGGTATGGATGTTTTTTCCTCCTCTTCTCTGTATTATGTGTCCTTTCTATGAGAGCAACGTTGGCTCACCTACTGTTACGCCCCTAGAGTGGTCAATAAATATGCCCTTTTGATACCTGAATAGCGAAAATCAATATTCAGTTGGTCATTAGAAAAAAATAGTCATTATTAATTGTGATTTAGTTTTCATTTATTTCTTTAATTGTTTTTTTTAATTCATTAAATCATAACGGACACTTTTTATTTTGAAATTAAACACGTGATCAATCGCAACACTTTTCAATAATTATAGCAATTTACGAAACTGAATCAAATGCATTACTTCTTTTTTATTACCACGTTTATATAAACTTGCCTTCGTGTATGTCTGTCCGGGTGGAATTTTGTAATCGATTTTAAATTAACTTCCTGACTAGCTACAAACTTCAAATTTGGCACATAGTTCAGAATTGGATGACAATGCATGAAAATGAAGTGAAAAAAGACATACAAAGTAAAATAAAATTAAAATTTAAAA